CGAATGATCCAACTCAACCAGCAATTATCACTCCTATTAGAGTTGCAAAAATGATTATACAGTATTCCTTACACAGCATTGTATATTGTGAGAACATTGGCAAAACCCTCTTAGAAAAGCTATACAAGCGGAATGGGGTCACCTAATAGGACACTTCAGTCATTTAAGAGGTTGTATAAGCGCTGCAGGTAACATTTATACAACAAAAACGTAAGCACCTTGCAGCCGCTATAGGACATTTGCGTCCAGTGCAAGAGTCAGTTTTTGTCAACTATGCAACTATTCTGTTACGTGCTTCTACTTTATTGCAACCAAACTATTTCTTATGATTTGCATAGACGAAGTGAAGAATATATAACTAACAAATTACAGTCATCTTGTTTACTTACATATCGGCCATTGTGAATTTGATACACAGGTATATGATATACTTCTACACTGTGATATAGGGCTATTGAATTACTTGCGCAGCAAATTTTATTGTAATTATCGTGCAAAGTAGTTACGCAATTTCTGCGGGCTTCTTATTTCATGCATATTTTGATAATAATTAAAAGTATGTCTAGATTTTTAAAATGGAAAGCTGAACTTATCTGCGTCAAATCTTCCACAAATCCTATATTTAGACACAATTACACTGATGTTTATCACTTTATATCTGTAATTTCGAACTGAAACATAATAATTTAATATTAAATAGAGGAATAAATGTTTGCCCAATATGGCTGGTGGTTGTGTATAATCATGGCATCGTCCATGTTGTCTTCAGTTTATTAGAATTTTGGTGTTGCCTGCAGGTGTTATACAACAATTTGACAAATGTCTGAAATGAAATACCGACAGAGTCCAATGATTTACCCAGAATTTGTATCTCAGATCTATATCTTCTGTTTGAACAGTTGATAAAACCTTTTGAACCAATATGCATGCGTTGTTTGTTTTAAATCATTGGTTATGGCATTTTAACAAAAATATGACAGCAGAAAATTAGGATTAGGTTATGGTGAAGTTGTATACCAACATATTTAGCATATGTACAGCCTTTAACAGTTTTACTAAACAACAGTTGTATAAGTGGTCCGGTGGGAGCAACTTGTTGGCTAAAGTAGTAATATGCACAGCAAAACAGCAAGGCTCGGGTTTGTTTTATAAACGTTACCATGGATGCCACAACACAACCATTTTGACTAACGTGCAAATATGCCGTATAAAATAGTTGTATAAACGTTTATGCAACAGTTAAAAATTTGTCCTATAAGGCGTTGTATGACTATGCTAAAGAATATTTTAAACACCTCATTTTAGAGCAAATATGTTGCAGAAAGCAAATTTGCATTCCACACAACATTAAACCAGCATTTTGGTGTTCAAGCAACAACAATAGAGAGCTTTTATGGCTGAACGGTTCTTTTGCCAAAAGCCTATAGCACTAATTTGCTAGTTAGGAATGTACGGTTTTTCTAACCAAAGCTTCAACACTCACTCGAATGTTTTCTTTTTCAATTTGACCAACAACTTTTCCTAAACGTACCTCACATCTCCATTTTTAGTTTATCTATTTAATACTACAACGTTGTCGAGCTGTTATTTCATTTCAAATTACGAATATCGGAATATTTTTTAGCAAATCGTGAAGCTCTTTTTTTCAGCTTCTCGTTTTACTTCGGTTGAGTTCAGTACATCGAGGGTTCACTGGCACAACAGCTCCTACATTTCAAGGTTATCAAAAATGTTTTAATAATCCTAGGCAGTCCAAAAATCCGAATAAGTAAACGATTTTAACTTTATTAGAATATATCTTTAAAGATGTTTCATTACAAAGGAGTGCCATAGAGGGTAAATAAAGCATGGAGTTCAGGAACAAAAACAACAATGCTATATAATTCTAACCTTTTGATACCTACCTTTGCACTAATTTTCAACAAAACCATTATTCCGATATGGGCCCTACATTTCAGACAGCGTTGAATTAGTAGAAAGCAAGTTAGTTCAAAAAATCAGAAGCTATTCGTATACACCCTGCAATAAAAAGTAAAGGCAAAGGCACCAAATGAAATCACGTTACTCTTTCATCGCCTACGAGAAAGAACAAACACTGAAAAAAACGAAAATAGGAATCAAATTGGTTCCACCATCGTTCTTTAGCTTTTGGTGACTGTATATGCTGGGATTCGAGGGATATTATTCCGAAATATATTCACATGGCCCATTATTGTAACTCCTGAAACGTAACATGTGATTTTTATGTTCATAATACTCCATTGACTGACTGAATGTCGTTCGATTCGGTCAGACAATCGAGTCCTATGGCCCATTATGTTGAATAGTCATTAGGGTTAATCTTTTCTAGCTCTATGAAGTGTGTAAATGATTGTCTGAGAGAAAGACAACACGCATGGATTATAAAAAAGGACAAAGAGCTACTAGGTGATGGAACATCTCATACACTCCTATAATTTAGCGTCACTACTTGTAGCAATATTTTACAATCTACGCTCCAAATGTACAGTTCAAACGATTTAAAAAAAATTATTGATTAAGTAATTAATTTTTTTGTGTCAACTTTTTGTCCAAATATAGTGTGATTACAGTTTTGTAGTATAGGACTTAGTTATAAACAATAATGATAACATTTTCCTAAGTAAAATTTATAACGCTGAGTGATGCGCTCAAAATACTGATTCCTTTCCAACTTGATGAAATTTTGCGTCTACGATGACTGTCGTATAGGCCAAAGATGTATTCAACCCGACTTTGGTAATCACTAGTTCCAAAATTACAGATATTTTGAGAAAAAAATATAAACTGACGGTATGTGTTAAGCTGAAGGGACAAAATTCAGATCAACCTCTGCCTGTCGGCCAGGCTTTATTTGAGAAGCACCACCTCTAGGACAAGGACATGACCTTCTCCAGTACTAGCCTTGATCGTCATTCTACGTGGGAGATGACGGTTGCAAATCAAGAAGGTGCTACGTTATGAACTTCGATTGTGTCAAACGTTTCGTGGCTGTTCTACAACCCAACTGTACGAGTATAAAACTCCACACAGATTACTATATTACACGGTATCGTAGACCAAATAGGAGCGTAACAATAATTAGGTTTTTATAAACGGCCCAATACCAATAATTTATGTAAATCAAATCGTTTAAATTGGACCGTGTCCCATTCACCTCTCCCCTGACGTTGTCACTGGGGATTGACGATATTATGGCCCAGAGGTAAATCAACAAATAAACAAAACCAGACGTCTGGTTTGCAGTTGTTAGTTTCTTTCAATGCAGACACATGACTTATTAATGGTTTGCTAACTAGTTGCGTTTGGTAGATTAGAAGTAGAAGTTTTGCTTGCTGAAGTAAACTAAATTTGTTCTAAGTTTTGATGTTAATTGAAGGTTAAAGGTACATTGAATACTAATGTTTCCCCAGTTCACAGAGCATATTTCTCGGGAAATAAATAACCTGCTTCGATTTACGAAATCCATGTTTTCGCTCCGACATTTCCACGTTATTGGTTATTTGCTCAAGTTCTCCAGTTCTTCCTATTATGTTTTTATAATATAGAGTCAGTCACGATCTTGAAAATTTTCCTTTTAGGGGTAAGGCGTCAAGTTGACAAAGTGGTTTCTGATTCTGTTCGAGGACGTTGCTAAATCTGTCAGAGGCGCATCTGGAATTCCCCATATTGAGTTCAGTTATGGCTTCCGAGTTATTATTTGAAAGATGAGCATTGCGCTTGAACTCCTAAACTATGTCTGAGCCATACCTGAATCACTTAATTCGGGGTCTCTTGGACCAGAGCGTTCTGCTGTTTTAGGTTTCACTCTTTCAATATTTTAGGAAGCAATGGATAAATAAATAAAAGAATCAAAAATTGCTTGAATGAATGAATAAAGAAGTGTCCGGCCGCCATGAAGAGCCGTCGCACAGCCCACATATATGGGCCCTTATGCACCACTATATTCCCTAAACATCAAGCACAGCCCTTCTAGCAAAGTTGAGTATAGCCCTGAGTACCAGCTCCTTAACATTCTGGGGATTCAAAGCGTTGGGCCCTAGTATAGTCTGCCTGTGGTTGCTAAGAGCCTCGCATCGAAACAGAACGTGCATCGAGGATCCATCTTCTACCTCACAGTGCTCACCCATGGGATTCTCAGCCACCAACATCACATACAGGTGGCGTCTCCGTCTCATTATGGCCAGACAAAATTCCCACCAACAACTTGCGGTTGGATCTATCCCAAGAAAGATAAAAGCGTCCATCCTTAAAACTTGACCTACAATGAGCTGCCGCGCCCGACGGAGATGTCTAGACATACTTCTCAATTTCTGAGAGTGTCGACTAGCAATCCACTTCACCATTTTCCTACTGACTCTTCATCCAGGTACTTTTAAGGCCTACAAGCTCATCCTGCTCTGGCACGAGCGTCCGCGGTATCATTACCTTTTATCCCAGCGTGCATCGGTACCTCACTGCTAACCTATTCAGAGCCTCCATGCATTTCAATATAAGGCTCTAAGTAATATTGCTGGAATATAGTGCCTCCATCGCAGCCTGGCTGTCAGAGAAAGTTCTTATTTTTCTCCTCCGAATACGGGAAATGCAAGCCAGAATCGCGTAGATTTCTTCCTAGAAAATAGTGGTGCATTCGCCGGAAGCCTAGTTCTAGGCCCAAAGACCTCGGCGTCAGAGCCTTCTTCAGTAACCGAGCCGTCCGTGTACTAAGCCCAATTCCTTCGGAGATCTGCTGGTTTCCGAAGTCCTACCGCGCCGTCGTCGAATACTCCACATTACACTTGCGGTAATGTATGCCATTTTCTTGAACTCCGAATCATGGCTTTATTCTAAAACAATGTCATCTCCCTGAACTCATTGTAAGTTTTATGGTATCATTTCCTTGGAGCAATTACATCGGCTTCTGAGGATTCCAGTTACTTCTTCTTATTCCTAAAAATGAGAATATTTAGGCACTGGTAGTGTAATAAATGAAGACTTACCATGAACTCCGAGCTTTTATCCACCTGCATGTAGTTTTCTCAGGTCACCAAAGAGAAACTGAGTCCGTCAGTCTCGTACAACCTGGGATGAAATTTAGGCCTTCAACGTAAATCAAACGTGGCTTTATTCCGGAAACATTAGATTTTCTGCGAATGGCGCTGGGAATAACTGATGTCATGAGAAAAAATTCCTCAGCGAACTTTGACGTTATCTTGGGTTTACCAACGTTGCAAACCTGCATAAAGCGGGAGGCCAGTACGAGTAAGGATACGCGATGAGAGCACGCGGGTGATGCGAGGTGGTTGGTCACTCCATTACACAATTTCCCCATATCTTTAATAAGAGTGAAGAGGACCGAGAACCAATTCATAAGACCGGCAGGAGCATTATGTAAAGAACCTAGAAAAAGTAAAAAAGACCGACTAAGTGTTATCTTGCAGACCAGGTAGTTCTTAGTGTGCAAATAGTTCAGTTCACGTTTGCTCGCTATGATCGCTGTTCGATGACGTTTAAGCAACACTTACAGCTACAAAACGAGTTCACAACAAGTGTACAACAATTTGTGATGAGTTAACAGCTTGCAGGTAAACCTACGTTATGTCACAAATAACCTACGAAATGTCAAAAAAAAAACGACAAAATATCACTTTTCAAGATACATAATGCCCGAGCAGATTTACGAGTATAATAGAATTCTCCTTATCGCTACTACAACTAAACGTTTTCTGAGATGGCGCAGGTATATGTGTATACTTTATCTGAAGTCACTTGAAACACTATGAAATACCGGGCGCGTTTTATAGTATATATCTATATTTAACACGCTCTGTTGCTGCAAATATCACCAAATTTCGCAGCAAATATCCCCCGTATAAGATCAAAGGCAGTTTCACCGGTCCACGTGGAGTAAAGCACGCCTATGCGTGGACATAGCCAATGAGAAAGCGTGTATTTCAGAGCTCCGAACAAGTGCAGGTGGCTACTGAAAATTGAAACAGTTTAGCCAGTGCCGTGTAGCGGTGAATAAACGTGTTTTCTTTAGTCTGTCCGTGTTTTTTCATAGATTCTATTAGTTTGTGTGTTTTTGACTTTTGAATACTCAGTTTACTTGTTGATTTAATTGTTGTGTTGATTGTTCTTGTGTGTCCTAAATATGGCTCTTTGGAGACCTTGGGAAAATGCTCCAAGCCACGAGGAGATGGTTGATGAACCTGTGCAGGCAGAATTCTTTCATAAAGATTTAGAGGAACAGACCCAAAGAGTAATCCTAAATATGTATGATTGTCTGAAAAACGAAAATCCAGATTCCTCGCAAAATCAAATTTTAAACAGAATTTGTATCCTGACAAAAATCAGTCGGTCTACCATTTATCGGGTTATAAAAAGGGGAGATGTAGTCAACCATTCCTTCCACAGAAAGCGCATAGGGCAAACATTAAAAAGAATAGACGTGGGTTTTCAGGAAGATATTCGTCGTATAATATACGGATTTTATAAAGAAAATTTGGTGCCCACGTTGGAAATGATACGGGATAAATTAAAAGATTATCCTGAAGATTTTTATAATTACAAATGCTTAGACTCACTGCACTGTATTGTAAAACTGTGTTGTTTTCAATACAAAAAATTAGATAAAAGAATGGTGATTATGGAGTCGTCTCGAATCGTTGAATTGCGCCAAGAATTTTTGCACAAAGTTAAAATCTATAGAGAGCAGAAAAGAAATCTGATTTACCTGGATGAAACGTGGTATGATACCCATGATGTTGTGCAGTACGGCTGGGTTGACGACAGCAACAAGTGCATTTTAAATGCACCATGAAACCGTGGAAAACGAATCATTATTCTCCATGCTGGCAGTGAAAATGGATTTATACCTAATGCCTTGCTGTTATCTGCCAAAAATATCAAAGAATCATGTGCCGACTATCATGAGGACATGACCTCCGACTTATTTGAAAAGTGGATAGAGCAGCAGTTAATACCAAACATTTCCCCAAATTCAGTGATTATTATGGACAATGCGCCATACCATTCCCGACAGAAAAACAAAATTCCGAATACAGGCACAAAAAAACAAGACATTATTGATTTTATGAAGGATAAGGGAATGGAAATACCACAAAAATCAACCAAAGCCATATTATTGGATCTTATTAAAAGACAAAAATTTGAAAAAGAGTATGTTGTTGACAATCTGCTTCAGCAAAATGGCCATGAAGTATTACGTCTACCTCCCTATTACTGCATTTTTAACCCGATTGAGTTGGTCTGGGTTGCTTTAAAAAAAAAAGTAAGAAAACATAATCAGACCCCTCAATTAAGTGAATCGCTATTTTCCACAATAAGAGATGCAGTATCTCATATTGCTGCCACAGACCTATGGAAGCAGTGTTCTAGGCATATTATTGAAAAAGAAAATGAATATTGTGTTTTGCCTCCTGTAAATCCCGTTGTAATTCCTCTACAAGATGACTCTAGCGACAGCTCCGAAGGCGATGATGATATATAAATACCTATAATGTAAGTCTTTATATACCTTTTTATATACCTACCTGCTATATAAATATTTGCCTATGTCAAACGTTGGAATTCTGTAATTTTTCCATTTCTTAACTTTCAGTCAACATAAATTAAACTCCCAATATAAGTATTTTTTATCCCAAATCAAAAAAATAAGAAGATAGTAAAATCCATTTATTGTGATATAAAATCATTATTATTATCGTTCTAAATAAATGACCGCACGCCTATGATACGTCATGAAATTACAAAGGACGCGCCGACCAAAGGTTTTTATGCTATTTCAAGTGACTTCAGATAAAGTATACTTTCCTCAATGTTTCACTACCCAAGGTAAGCAAAGATACCTCTAAAAATAACCTTAGTAGCCATCGCAATAGTCGATAAATCGCATTTATTGCCGGCTGATTGGAAAACAAGTGCACCTGCATCGCTGCGTAGCTTTAAACACCGCAACTGCATGGCCGCTAACGCGTTGCCGCGTCGCTGTCGGACCTGCCGCACGGCGGCGAGTGATATTTCAGCGCCCTCTATCTCGCTTTAATCGTCGCTGTGCCGCCGAGATGAAAAATTGCCCGTTGATTGGTTTAAATTCTGCCTCGCCGCCGCCTCGCTACCAAATGATTTATTTCATCGGTTCGATTATGTGTTTTGGAGATATCTACGTGGACGCGTGGCCAATGTTGTAGGCCAGGAAAAATTCAATTTTTTTTGTACAATTTTTATTACAACAGTAAATATTTTTAATCGTATCGTTAGATTATTGCGTCGATAATGACAAGTTCAAGTTGGCGTCACAATAGGGCTGTTTTGAAAACAATCGATTTCATGTCAAAAAGTAATAAAAACAAATAGCATTAAATCCTTTTGTTTTTATGAAAATCTGTCGTATAGTCGACAAACTGAAGAAGAGTAAAGGTACAGGTACACAATGATAATGGGTGATTTTTTTGCTAGTATCTTTTTGGCAACACTGTTTTTGACAGATGACGCATGAATCGTGTCTTGTGTCATTGTCAAACTTGTTCAGTTTGGTCTATAATTTAACCATGAATCGACTTATGAACGAACAACGCTTGCGAATTGTTGAATTTTACTATCAAAATTCATGCTCGGTTAAGAGAGTGCATCGAGCACTGCTTCCAATTTATGGGCAATTTGGTCGGCCTACTGAGGCAGCTATTCGGAAGCTTGTGACTAAATTTCGAACCCAGTTTACATTATTGGACATTAAACCACCAACACGCAGACGTAGAGTGAGGACTGAAGAAAATATTGCGGCTGTATCAGCCAGTGTTAGTAATGACCGTGAAATGTCGATTCGCCGCCGTTCGCAGCAATAGGGCCTCTGTTACTCCACTACGTGGAAAATTTTGCGACAGGATTTGGGTGTAAAACCTTATAAGATACAGCTGGTGCAAGAATTGAAGCCACACGACCTCCCACAACGTTTCCAATTTGGTGAATGGGCGCTGGCAAAGTTGGAGGAAGATCCACATTTTTATCGAAAAATTGTGTTCAGCGACGAAGCTCATTTCTGGTTGAATGGGTACGTTAACAAGCAACACTAAAAAAAAATTAACAGTAAATTCCTTCATACAAACGCTTGTGAAACGATGGATAGAAACATAAACAGTCATGTAACCTAGCTTCCGGGTTTGCACTGGAAACACTTCATCCTCAGACCACGTCCTAAAACTGGTCAAGAAATCAACTCTGTGTAGTGATATGTACAACAAAAAGTGCTTTTGTTGTTTTGGATCGCTGAAGGCATTCTAAGGATATTTGTTCTCGCTTATGTTGTACATCCTATTATTTGATGAAATTCAGCGAAATAAATGCGACTTCATGGTGTCAAAAATCCATCTTTGTTATTGTGTTGTACATGCGAATGCAATACGGACACGGTGAAACCAAATCCGGGGTTACTCTTAATGTATCTGGATACATTTTCGTTGTATGTATGTGGCTACATACGAAAGATTTTAGATATTGTTAGGGATTTTGGTAAAGTGAATGGGAACATGATCATGGAAAAATCCTACATTGCCATGGGCCTAAAATCCGGACAAAAAAAACAGCTGCGATTTTTCCCAGTAAACGGGCTATATCCACATCACAGATCGGAAAGGCTTTTTATTTACTTTTGTGATACGTTCCATACTGACTAGAATTTTTTCAAATATTTTAGATAAAGGGCATTGCTGAACTAGGTTTGTCTTTGCGAACGTTTCTTGGTAAAATTAGGTTATTTGTAATGCTCAGTAGAAAAATTAATTGTGACCAACACTTTACCAATCACTAAACAAACTTCAAAGAAAGCTGGGGAAGCTGGAGAGACAGTTGTTGCAAAGCTTAGTAGTAGTAATGGTGTTGAGGCGAAGCCTGGCAACTGGGCCACCTTTAACCCTTTTGGCCGACCGCGTAGCATCAACACTGTACTACTCCACAAGCCACTCATATTTACGGATTTGTTGCGTTATACAGAGAAATCCATATACCACTA